CATATAAAACAATAAAATTCTCACGACGTTTCGACTGCAACGCAAGCAATCATCATCAGGTGTGAAAACCACAGCAAGAAAATTTGAAAATTTTCTGTGCTTTTCACACCTGATGATGGTTGCTTGTGTTGCAGTCGAAACGTCGTGAGAATTTTTCGATTTAAAGCTTTCGTGACTGCAAGGAATCATCTTCTTTGGTTCTTTCGATAAAGTCACGTAGAATGAGAATAAAATAATAAAATAAAATAAAACAGTAAAATTCTCACGACGTTTCGGCCACAACACAAGTAGCCATCCTCAGGTGGAGAAACAGGACTGTCCGGAAGACAGCGCTTGAGTGAACACTGTCAAGCTTGACAGCGTCTTTTGAGCTGTGTGGGAGGAACAGAGAGCCTGGACAAAGGAACATGTCACTGGGAGATTAGCATTGTGGAGAGCGGACGAGCTGGGGCTGGAGGAGGGGGAAGGGGGAGTTTACATATAAATTAGCATGCAACTGGGGGATCAGCATGATGTTGAGAATTTTATTGTTTAATTATTGTATTATTATTTAATTGTTTCCCTTCTACGTGACTTTACCGAAAGAACCAAGAATAAGGGAGACAGAGTTTATGCCTGGTCTCAGTTTGTCTTCAAAGACGAACGGATGCCTCTCAGTCAACGATCAGGAGGTGAAGCCTCACGTCTCCGACAAAGCTCCGTTTGTGCCGCCGTTACCGGAGCGTTCGAGGCAACATGAACCACAGCGATCGCATGCACGCTCTGAAACTTTAAACGTTGCTCTCTCTCTCTTTCTCTCTCTCTCTCTTTCTGTGTCTCTTTTTTACGATCAGATGAAAAACAGAAGAAGATGCTCTGTGTAGTCGGAACTTTGTTTCGTTCATCATTTCGTTTTTTTATTTTGTATTCTTTCAATGCTTTGCTTTATGTGTGCCCCCTCCCCCCCCCCCCCGTTTAAATGAAATATTTCACGAAATATTTCAAGCTCTGCTTCTTTTTCTTACACCTTCCCTCTCTCTACCCCCCCCTTCTCTCTCTACCCCCTCTCTCTCTCTACCCCCTCTCTCTCTACCCCCTTCTCTCTACCCCCTCTCTCTCTCTACCCTCTCTCTCTCTACCCTCTCTCTCTCTACCCCCTCTCTCTCTACCCCCTCTCTCTCTACCCCCTCTCTCTCTAGCCCCTCTCTCTCTACCCCCTCTCTCTCTCTACCCCCTCTCTCTCTAACCCCTCTCTACCCCTTTCTCTCTACCCCCTCTCTCTACCCCCTCTCTCTCTCTACCCCCTCTCACTCTCTCTCTGTGTCTCCCTCCTCTCTCTCTCTCGAATAAATTCTGTTACACCCACGGATTTGTACATCGATTACTAAATCCAAACCCTCCATTTGTAACGCGTGAAAGGAGCCGCAGACAGAGGACACGGTCATCTGTTCGGCGTAATCCGCTAACTGCGCGTGCGTACATATTTGGGTATGTACAGCTCAGGAATGCTCGTGTAGGCATGTTAGCAAATGTATTTTTTTAATAGATCAAATCCGTGGGGGGTAGGATTTCTTGAATCCATTGACTGCGAAGTCTCGGGAGGTGTGTTGCTTCATGAATCAGGGCTCTGTCACTTTCAGAACCAGCCGAGCTGCTGCTGCTACTGCTGCTGATGATGATGATCTTTTTCTTCGCATGGATTACTTTAGGTCGAGGTGGTTCATGAGTCAAGATGATTTGCGAGTCAGGCGTAGCGTAGTTGTGAATCAATCGCTGTGATGGTGCCTCCTCCTTCGCGCGTACGCATCGGACACCGAGGCGTTGTTATATTCCGTCCTTCTATGTTGGGTGGTGACCACAGCTGCCAACCATCATGGTGACAATGATGATGATGACGTGTGAGCAGCCTCACCTGCTGGCAACGAGAGTTTGCGTGTATAGGGCAGAACAGCACGTAGGGTTTGTTCACAGGCTATTCTCACACCTCCGAGTAGCGTACATCGGCGGGAGTGGTTTTTGTTTGTTTGTTTATTTGTTCAGCAAACTGTGTAGGGTTATTGGGTAAAGTCACGTAGGTAAAAAATAACAAAAATCACGACGTTTCGGCCACAACACAAGCGGCCTTCATCAGGTGAAGGGACGAGACTGTCTGGAGGACAGCGCTGGAGTGAAAAAGCCACGCTCAGATCGCTTAAAGGCCGCGATCGCTTAAAGGTCGCGATCTGAGCGTGGCTTTTTCACTCCAGCGCTGTCCTCCAGACAGTCTCATCCCTTCACCTGATGAAGGCCGCTTGTGTTGTGGCCGAAACGTCGTAATTTTTGTCATTTTATTTTTTACCTACGTGACTTTACCCAATAGAACCAAAGAGTATGGATCCTAGCAGTCACGAAAGCTTTAAATCTAGAATTGTGTAGGGTTACACAGTGGCCAAACAACGCAGCGCAACGAGCTCGGCGTCACGCCGACCAAGCTGACCGTGAACGATATTGACGGGGATGCCTCCATCACAATGTGAGCAGCTCTCTCCATCAACCGACCGTCACTCTACCGTGGCGCGACACCCAAACGCCGCTGGGCTTCGCACAGAATGCCAGAAACGGTCCTGCATGCGGTGATCTCAGCTGCTGCTGCTGCTGCTGCTGCGCGAAACGGAGTGGAACGCACGCGGACGTCCGGAAGAAACTCATCGTTCGAGACTCAAACGTCGCAACCTCCTGGCTTCGGCATCCCTCCTCCTCCTCCTCGCCCGTTCGCAACGTGCTCGATCACAGCACTTGCACCAACAGTCCGCACACGGCTATGCGAACGGATACATTACTAGGTCGCGATCATTGCACACAAAGCGCCTGCCACAAATGCACCACAACGCCTCGCTGCTCATCTCGCCTAGGAGCATAAACCATCACGCGAACTCTTCCGGTCATCCTCGCAGCAGCAGGAGCAGCAGCAGGAGCAGCAGCAGCAGGAGCAGCAGCAGCAGGAGCAGCAGCAGCAGGAGCAGCAGGAGCAGCAGCAGGAGCAGCAGCAGGAGCAGCAGGAGCAGCAGCAGCAGCAGCAGCAGCAGCAGCAGCAGAAGCAGCAGCCGCAGCAGCAGCAGCCGCAGCAGCAGCCGCAGCAGCAGCAGGAGCCGCAGCAGCAGCAGCAGCAGCAGCCGCAGCAGCAGCAGGAGCAGCAGCAGCCGCAGCAGCAGCCGCAGCAGCAGCAGCAGCAGGAGCCGCAGCAGCAGCAGCCGCAGCAGCAGCCGCAGCAGCAGCAGGAGCCGCAGCAGCAGCAGCAGCAGCCGCAGCAGCAGCAGGAGCAGCAGCAGCCGCAGCAGCAGCCGCAGCAGCAGCAGCAGCCGCAGCAGCAGCAGCAGCAGCCGCAGCAGCAGCCGCAGCAGCAGCTTCTGCGGCCGTCTGGAACGCTCTTCCCTTCTGATATTAGGAAGCCGCTGGGGACCTGTGCACTTTCACATCTAAATTGAAACTCATTTCTTTAAGATAGCTTTTTGTATTCTTAGTTTTTTCGGTAAAGTCACGTTGAAGGGAAACAACAAAATAATAAAATATATATAAAACAATAAAACATTCTCACGACGTTTCGACCATAACTCAAACGGTCTTCGTCACCTGAAGACGACCGTTTGAGTTATGGTCGAAACGTCGTGAGAATTTTTTAATTGTTTTTATATATTTTATTATTTTGTTGTTTCCCTTCAACGTAACTTTACCGAAAAAACTAAGAATATGAATTACTGCAGTCACGAAAGCTTTAAATCAAAATTGTTTTTAGTGTTTAGTTTGTTGTCTTACACCCCCCCCCCCCGCACATCCGATTAGCACGGTTGGCTATGTACGGTGAGAAAGAAGTTCATAAACACGCATATATACGGGGGGATCTTTATATTTATTTCGTGTGTGTGTGTGTTTTAAAAGCCTAAGCAGTCGATATCATGCATGTAGGACTCGGTTTACCAAACAATTCGTTGTTTATGAGCGTGCCAATGATCGCGCTGGGTTATGAGTTGTGATGATATCAAGAGATTTGCGCTCAAGGAATTAGTTTTTTTTTTTAAATATTTCCCACGGGGAGATTTAAAATGTGGAAGAAGAAATTACACAGACCAGTCGGACAACTTGGCCGATATGCCCTGGCCGCTTGGGACAAATGTCAGTCGATTGGCTATGGCGAGCCGACAGCATAGACGGCAAGAGCTAAGTGGAACACAGCTGCGATGCATGCTGTGTATTTATTTACTTAAAGCACGCGGTTGCCTTCCAAGCGGTTGCAACCATGTGCCCGTATTTATACTTCATTTTGCCACCCACCCACACGTCCCACCCACCCCATCGGACCAACACAACCACCCCACCCAACGATCCACAATGGTACGAGCCAAGCGACTATATAATCTACATTCTAACAAGCTCTGGCCAGGTGCCTGTCGCCTCCGCTGCCGCTGCCTGGAATGTGTGGAGCTTCCACATCCTCCTCCTCCTCCTCTTCTAAACAGTGACATCGCCCTCAAGTGCGAGTCCCTGTGTGGCCCTGCATTGCTCAACGTGAGACGCTGCTGCTGCTGCTGTTGTGTTACACGCGCGCACGAGTGAGTGAGTAAGCGTCAAATGAGTGTACCTGGTGCGCGGTGCGTCCACATCGTCACTGGGGGAGACAAAGGCGGTCGGGCGTGGTGCTTGCCAACTACATCTTCGTGTGCCACAGTGCCGGCCTTCATAAGTGCTGCTATTCGCTAAGAGCACTTGTCCCAAATGTATGTCAAGCCTACATGGGGAATCTTTGTCTTTATGTGTTTGAGTGTGGGGAGCGGTGGCGTAGCGGTTAGCGCGCTGCATCAACGAACGCGACCACCCAAGTTTGAGTCCCGCTCAAGGTCAACATCAGTGACGATTATCTAAACCAGTCTTGGGCTTCCCCTAGGTCGGCTCAGCCTCAAACGAGTACCTAGCGAGGTGTGTTAATATCGCCACTAGAGAGACAAAGGCGGCCGGGCGTAGTGCTGGCGTGACGGCCTTCATAGGTGCTACTCGCTAGCTGCACTTGACCCACAAGTATGTGAAGGCTATACGGGGAATCTTTGTCTTTGCGTGTCCGCCGGTGCAATCGTTAAAGTGCTCCGTGCTCTTGAGAGATGAAATTTGGGTCCTATTCCCGGCAACGGTTAACATCAATGGGTGTGGTGCGTGTGTGTGATATGTAACATGTTTCTGGATCTCCCCTAGGTTGACTCAGACTAAAAGTAAACACCGGGTGCGGTGTGTAAACCATCAGCACCTGGTGAACCATGGGCGGCCGGGCGTGGTGCTGACCCCCCCTCCCTTTTGTGCTGTGCCAGCCTTAATAAGTTTAAGGATTAATTGGTTGAACCAGGTGATCATTATTTCCATAGTTTTTCTGCTATACATTTCCACGTGACGATGGGTAAGCCACTTCGTTGAGCTATTATCTGTGGCCAGGTCGCTTCTGACAAGGAAGCTAATAGCTTGGTTGGACTTTACCTGGTAAGATAAAAAAAAAGTTTAGTTGTATTGGAATATTTGTTTAACTTTTCCTATACTTTGCACTCGTATCGTAGGGTGTTTATTTCCCCATTGTTTCTTGTTGTAACGTTCTGACAACTCACGACTCGGATAACTCAAGGCGCCAGGGCAGCCAAGCTCAACATCACTAACCCCAACAGCCTATATCTATATATCGGCTAAACGGGGGTGGGAAAAAAAAAAACCTTTTTGCTTGAAGCATAGTTAAACTTAGCTCCGTCCTCGGTATAATAACCATGGCTTAGGCGCACACATTGCTCTCGGTAATTTTAGCACTACGCGTTCCGACCGAGGGATATTTGCAGCCGGGCAGATTATTTTTAACGTTGGAAGCGCTTTCCACCACCGTCACTTGCACGGCTGTAGCGGCATCTGCCCTCACTCTCGCTGTGTTTGCTGCTCGCTGCTCATTTATTCGAAGGCTGAGTCGACCTACAGCGTGGAGGTTCCCATTCAGGACCCGGTTGGGGGTCGTGGTGGTGCGGGTGGGAGGCGGAATTCGTGCAGTGTCTTGTTTGGGACTTTCCGCCGATGGACGATGAGCGCGATGGCTGTGCGACGAGTGAATTCCTACAGAGACGGCGGTGGCGGTGGTGGTGGTGCCTCGCCGACATGCACACGAAGCCGTTCCGCGGGCAGTGTTACGCCAAACTCCGGCGGGAATGCCTCTCGGCGGGACGGCCCTTCGAAGACCCGCTCTTCCCGGCGTCCGACTCGTCCCTGTACCACACCAAGCCGCCTCCCGCGCACGTGGAGTGGAGGAGACCCACGGTGGGTTTGGGGTTGGGTGGGAGTTGCGCCTCACTTTGCCCCCGTCTCTGTCTGTGCAAAGCGTGCGACCAACCGATGCATCGACGATCCACGGTGCCGCCCTGCGTGAACGTTGCAGCGACGTTGCGTGGCACCGCCGCGATAAATCGCGGAACGTCTGGACCAACAACGGTTCTGATCGCAAGCCAACGTTGTAGCAACGTTGCCCCAACGTTGCATGGCACTGTGCGATAAATCGCGGAATGTCGGAACCAACAACGGTTCTGATCGCAAGCCAACGTTGTAGCAACGTGGGCCGCTTTACTGACTGGGATCTAGCCCACCCCAAACAAACTTACGTCGAGGGCAAGTTCTGTTGGGGGTTAACGTGGCCAGGCGACCACCCCCGGCCGCCTTTGTCTCCCCCGTGTCGATTTCTTTACAAGCGGCAGCAGGCACTCATTGAAGGCTGAGTCGACCTAGGGGAGTGAGAATTGAAGTCGGCTCTCAAGGGGCATTGCATCACCACTCGTCTCGACAGCGATGACTGAAACAGATCCCCGGTGCAGCCTTCGCTCTAGCTGGGCATCTGTGAAGGGCGGCACGGCGCGCGAGTGGGTGGGGGGTGACCAGCACAACACCCGGCCCCGCATTTACATCTCCCGTGCTGATCTTTTAACACACTGCACCAAGGCCGTAATTATAATATATATTGGGGGGGGGCACATATTGGGGGGGGGGGGGGACGACGACACACATCCCCCCCCCGCAATATTCAAATATGCTCAAAATGTCCCCCCCATATATTGCTATAAAATAGATTTCTGTTTATATAATTGTGGTTATGGTTGTACTTTATTGATCCCTAATCTCTGCCATTACATACAATGAAACAAGAAAAGGTAAAAAATAAGTAAAAACAGAGCAATGTAATACAATACACACTATTAGATATCATTGTAAAAAAATACATTAAAAGTACATCCCACGTGTTAGTGTTTTTTTTTTAATAATTTGGGTAGGAAATGGCAGGAAATTAGTTTTCAAATTTAGACTCTTTCTGGGGGGGGGGGGGGGGGGACCCCCAGACCTCCTGGAAGATTCCCCCCCCCAAATGTTGACTCTATGGCTACGGCCTTGCACTGCACGAAGTGGGGGCTCATTCTAGGCCGACTCGACCTTGGGGAAGCCCAGGACCCATTCATATATTCGGTCGCGAACGGGAATTGAACCCTTATAACTGGGTTGGTTACGCTGTGCGCTAACCACTACACTGCACATACGCAGACCAGCTGTAGTAATTGGGCTGAGTGATAACCACTCCACTACAGCTCTCAGTGAAGACAAAGATCCCCAGTATAGTGGTGTTTGCAAGCTGACAAACTACGAGCTGAAGTGTGTGTGGGGTGTGTGTGGGGTGTGTGTGGGGTGTGTGTGTGTAGTGTGTGTGTGTAGTGTGTAGTGTGTGTGTGTAGTGTGTGTAGTGTGTGTGTGTAGTGTGTAGTAGTGTGTAGTGTGTGTGTAGTGTGTGTGTAGTGTGTGTAGTGTGTGTGTAGTGTGTGTGTGGGGTGTGTGTGTGTGTAGTGTGTGTGTGTGTGTTGTGTGTGTGGTGTGTATGTGGTGTGTGTGGTGTGTGTGTGTGGGGTGTGTGTGTGTGTTGTGTGTGTGGTGTGTGTGTGGGGTGTATGTGGTGTGTGTGGTGTGTGTGTGTGGGGTGTGTGTGTGTGTTGTGTGTGGTGTGTGTGTGTGGTGTGTGTGTGTGTGTGGTGTATGTGTGGTGTGTGTGTTGTGTGTGGTGTGTGTGTGTGGGGTGTGTGTGTGTAGTGTGTGTGTGTTGTGTGTGTGTGTGGTGTGTGTGTGGTGTGGGTGTGAATTGTTGGGGCCGACGTCCACCCCCTCCACTCCCCCCTCCTCCTCTCCGGCCGCCTCTCGCTGGGCCCACGCCGACCGGGCGATCGCCCCCCCCCGCGCCAGCGCCCTTTCTGGGGGACACAGCTAAGTGGCTGGCTCACTACCGCCCGGGGTTATCCCGCACACGCCCACGTGCACCACCGCACAAAGCGAACGCGGAGGCGTGCACGCGCGCGCCCCTGCAGGCGCGCATTTCGCGCAAAGGTTAGGGCTCAAGTTGGGGGGGGGGGGGGAGGGGGGTGTCGTGCCGTGCAGCCAATCATGCGCCTACCTTTCGATTTTCAACTGATTCCCCGCGCTCACCTGGAGCGTCATCTTCAATTACGCCTCGACCCATTGTCTACGCGTCCACCTCGATCCCCCCACCCCCCCCCCACCCCCGAGTGGGGGCGACCCATGATTGCCCCTTTCCCTGGCAGGGCTCTCGCACTTTTTTTGCCAAATTAATATGCCACCCTCTGCCGGGCGGCGGCGGCGGCGGCTTTGGCCAACCATTGTCCCTCTGTCCCTTGTGTCCTTCCTGCTAAATCTCCCATCCTCCGTTCTCCCCTCCGAGTTGTATCTCGTTGCGGTTGGCCCAGGGACCCTTTTTCGCTCTGCGCCCGTACAATTTTTAAGACAATTGTAAGGGCACCGCAATGTGGCCTGCCCTGCGAGGCTCGGCCAATCTCCTGGCACCGGGAAACCGTGGGATTCTCCCTCTAGGGGCCCGTCAGGACACTACTACGTGGGTGCGCTGAGTGCGGGGGCCGGGAGGGGATCACGGCACCACAGTGTGTTAGTTGGGTTTGTGGTGTGTCTGTGTGCGTTGCGTGTGTTGTGGTGTGTCCGTGTGTGTTGTGTGCATTGTGGTGTGTGTGGTGTGTGTTGTGGTGTGTCTGTGTGCGTTGCGTGTGTTGTGGTGTGTCCGTGTGTGTTGTGTGCATCGTGGTGTGTGTGGTGTGTGTGGTGTGTGTTGTGGTGTGTCTGTGTGTGTTGTATGCATCGTGATGTGTGTGGTGTGTGTTGTGGTGTGTCTGTGTGCGTTGCGTGTGTTGTGGTGTGTCCGTGTGTGTTGTGTGCATCGTGGTGTGTGTGGTGTGTGTGGTGTGTGTTGTGGTGTGTCTGTGTGTGTTGTGTGCATCGTGGTGTGTGTTGTGTGTGTTGTGGTGTGTCTGTGTGTGTTGTATGCATCGTGGTGTGTGTGGTGTGTGTTGTGTCTGTGTGCGTTGCGTGTGTTGTGGTGTGTCCGTGTGTGTTGTGTGCATCGTGGTGTGTGTGGTGTGTGTTGTGTGTGTTGTGGTGTGTCTGTGTGTGTTGTGTGCATCGTGGTGTGTGTTGTGTGTGTTGTGGTGTGTCTGTGTGTGGTGTGTGCATCGTGGTGTGTGTGGTGTGTGTTGTGTGTGTTGTGGTGTGTCTGTGTGTGTTGTGTGCATCGTGGTGTGTGTGGTGTGTGTGGTGTGTGTTGTGTGTGTGTTGTGGTGTGTCTGTGTGTGTTGTGTGCGTCGTGGTGTGTGTAGTGTGTGTTGTGTGTGTTGTGGTGTGTCTGTGTGCGTTGTGTGTGTTGTGGTGTGTGTGGTGTGTGTTGTGTGTGTTGTGGTGTGTGTGGTGTGTGTTGTGTGTGTTGTGGTGTGTCTGTGTGCGTTGTGTGTGTTGTGGTGTGTATGTGTGTGTTGTGTGCGTCGTGGTGTGTGTGGTGTGTGTTGTGTGTGTTGTGGTGTGTCTGTGTGTGTTGTGTGCTTCGTGGTGTGTGTTGTGTGTGTTGTGGGGTGGATGTGTGTTGGCGTGTGTATTGTGTGTGTGGTGTATATGGTGTGTGTGTGGGGTGTGTGTGGTGTTTGTGTCATGTGTGTGGTGTGGGTGCGTTGGGCGTGTATGTGTGGTGCGTGTATGGCACGCGCGCGCGCGTGTGTGTGTGCTTAAGATCAGTTGCGATACGTTAAGGAATGCACAAGAAGCGTCACGTGTGCATGTGGAAGGGATTGAGACGCGCGCGACCTTCATCGCTCGCCGCAGCCACAGACACGAGAGCCGATGGAAAGCTGTAAAAAGCGTCTCGTGTAAACGTGGGCCCTTTGACAAGGGGTGTACAAGTTTTGGCTGCTATTTCGCTCCCCTTTCATGCACGATATAAACAGGGACTTCTTTGTGGCGAGGAAGGAGGGTGGCGGTGAGGGGGGAGGGTGGCGGTGATGAGGGAGGGTGGCGGTGAGGAGGGAGGGTGGCGGTGGTGAGGCTGAGAAATTCATCTTCACACTTTTACGACAACACAAATCGGCTTTGCACCGTCAACCTCTGGAGAGTAGTGTAGAGTGGTGACGGTGATTCATACCACAAAATTTAGATTATTATTCTAGTTTGGAAGGCTCCCAAAGGTTGGTACACTTTAAAACATGTTTTATTTTCACTTGGTCTGACGAATTTTGTATATTTGTGCATGACCCATAACTCCCCACGGTGACGCATAACGAGTGTGAACTTCCTGGCACGGCTGATGTGGACGTGGAGCAACAGCCTCGACTTCTACATCGAGGTGGTTCATGATCCAGGGGTAGTGGAGTGGCGAATCGTCGCTGTGATGATGATCGCGCAAAGGTTAGGTCTTTGTGTGAGTCTATGGGGCTCTGTGTGAGTCTATGGGTCACTCTGAATCCATAGATCTGCGTGAGGCTGTGGGTTTTGTACGTGAGTCTATGGGTCTCTATGTCAATCTATAGATCTCTGTGTGAGTCCATGGGTCTCCATGTGAATCTATGGGTCTCTGCACGTCCGATTAGCACGGTTAGCTACGTACGGCGCGAAAGAAATGCAACATACGTACGACCGGAGAGAATTTAATTTCTCAATGGGTGCATCATGATTATCACCATCATCATCATCACCAAGTAGACCCGCAACTGCTGGTGCCATGCTTTGTGTGTGGACGAATGTGGTTCAGGGGTCGTGGGCGATTATTTTTAGGGTTGCAGATCCAAGGCAGAGGAGTCGCCTGCGCCGTTTTGATCTCTTGCCAGGAGGAGTTTGTTCGCGACCTCTTGTCAACTCCACTCCGCTTTCAAAAGCACCGTCAGGGTCAATAAAGCATCGTCGCACCGAACTATCCCGACTTGTGATCATAGCGGGCACTTGTC